CCTGGGCTCTGGCCCTAGGACCCCCCTCAGAGGAAGATTTCTCTGGAGCCCCCAGGGTGCTGACTTACTAGTCCTGGCCCAAGACCCCTGAGCTCTGACCGTCCATGCTGAGCCCAGGGGCTTAGGCTGAGCACCAGCTGTTGGGTAAGTGCTCAACCCCACCACCCTTTGTGTCTGGGAATATGGGGCCTTTGGCCTCCATTTCTTCAACTCTGGGGTTTGCTCATTTGTACCGCCCTATGGCAGGCAGTCTGCAGGTGAGAAATGGTTCTGTGGAACCCAAATCCTTCCTTTTACCTGCTGCGTGACCAAAGTTACAGTGATTGGCCTCTCTGGGCCTCCGCTAATGATACCTGTCCTGTCTGTCTCACAGGTAGTTAGGAGGACCAGAGATCAAGGAGAAGAAAGAGCCAAACCCAGGTAGGGGCTTAGTTTTGCTGTACTCAGAGCAGGGGTGGCGTCCTTGGCCAGGTGTTCATGAATCATTTTGGAGGGCAGGAGTGGGAAGCGGGAGGAAGAAGGAAGCTTGCCCAAGGAGGGGGAAGCCAACTCTGAGTCTCCCAGAGAACTGGTCAGGAACAGCTAGTGGGAAAGGGGCAGGAGAATTTCCTCATTCGGGGAGGGAAATAATTTTCTTTCTTTCTTTCTTTTCCTTCCTTCCTTCCTTCCTTCCTTCCTTCCTTCCTTCCTTCTTTCTCCCTCCCTCCCTCCCTCCCTCCCTCCCTCCCTCCCTTCCCACACTGACTGTGTTCCTCCAGTGCACCAGGCATTGCATTAGCCCTGGGGATACAAAGGGCAGGGAGATGTGCCCTCACTTGCATGGCTCATCTAGGCTAGGAGGCCTTAGTTGGGAAAGTACATCATTCATTCATTCTTTTATCAATTTCACATTTTTTGAAAATCTGCTATGTGCCAGGCCCTGGGCAAGGCTCTGGGAAGGTCATAAGATGCCATCCCTGCCCCAAGGAGTTTAGAGTCTTCTGGAGATAAAAGGCTCAAGAGTAGGCAAGTGAAACATGGCTAAAGCAGAAGGTTAAGGATAAGTGTTGGATGAATCTAACGTCTCCCTAAGCATCCGTAGGTCTAGGCACAGACTAAATATGTGCTCAGTAAATGTTTGGAAATCAGTGACCCAGATGTGGGGAAATTTCTAGATAACTTATGAGTTAAAGATTTCAGTCATTCTAGTAGGTATGGGTTAGTACCTAATTCTGGTTTTAATTTGCATATATCTGTTGTATCAGTCTGATGATCGAATATCTTGTTATGTGTTCATTGCTATTCTTTGAGTCTACTTAGTTTCATTTGTGTATATGTCTATCCTTATTGTAATATCACGATGTCTTGATCATTGTACTTGTAATAATCTTGTACTTATAATAAATCTTCAAGTTAAAAAAATCAACTTACGAGTTAAAGAGTAAAGTTGTTTTAACAAAATGCTAATAAAAATGGTACATAGGACAACAATAGGAAGCAGTCAAAATGGTTCTTAAAAGGAAATTTATGGTCTTCTGAGAATCTTATATTGCAAGAGAAGAAAGATGGAAAATTAAAGCATTCAACTCAGGAAGTTGGAAAATGATAAAAATAATAAATTCAGGGGGCACCTGGATGGCTCAGTTGGTTAAGTGTCTGCCTTCAGCTCAGGTCATGATCCCAGTGTCCTGGGATTGAGCCCCGCATCAGGCTCCCTGCTCAGCGGGGGGTCTGCTTCTTCTTCTCCCTCTGCCTCCCCCCGCCCGCTCTTGCTCTCTCTCTCTCTCAAACAAATAAATAAAATCTTAAAAAATAAATTCAAAGAAAGTGGAAGGAAGGAAATAACAAATACGTTATATTTTTTGGCTATGAAATTCAGATTCAGATTCAGATGAGTATTCAAGAAATTCATAAGTCAGAAATCCACAGAAAAAAAGTAGAGAGTTGGTCTCAGTTCCAAGCCTCTCCTGGAGGGGAATGTGGATTTTCCATAAGTTTCTCCTGAGTTTTGAGAGCAGGGACCATCCTGCAGGGGCCTCAGAAGAATGGACAAACTCTGAGCAGAAGTCTCGGAACTTCCAGACCCAGGGCCTGGCTGTACTGTGTCCTGAGAGAGCCAGCCCGAGGCCCAACTTGCCTGTATTTGGTATCCAAACTAGTGGGTTGTCTTTGATCCACAACATGTGCCTATCATAAGGATAGCGATATTACCAATAATCCTTTACACTTGTTACAGTTCAGAGTGCTGGAAATGGGAGGTGTGGTATTCCTGATAGGAATGAACACAGCTATTTCATCAGATTCTCGAACACCCTATCAGATAGGTAGGGAAGGTCTATGCTCCATTTGGCAGATGAATACACTGAGACTCCGTTTGTCTGAGGTCTCAGTGAGTGGGTGAGTCAGGACACCAATGCTTCAAAGTCCCTTCTTTGCTCCCAAGCTTCCTGTCATTGAGACACTGGCTCTTTCTTCAGGCTAGCTAGCTCCTTGGTGCTCACTTAAAGCCCACTTCCTCCAAGAGGCCTGTGCTGATTCTCTGGTTTCCTGAACAAGCCGTTCTCTTCCCTGAACTTCTCCCTTGGTTAGGAAGTTCGGGGCGGCTATCTTAGGTAGATGGCTTATCTCTCAACTTGACTGTGGGCTTCTTGAGGCAGAGGGGCGGGGTACAGTTGTGTCTTAGTGCAGGGCTGGGTTTGAGAAGATCCTCAGTCCTTGTTTGTTGATCTAGAATTTGGTTTGGCAGGATTAGACCTGTACCCATCAGAATATATTCTGGGCTGTGCCAACCCCCACGGTTCAGCAAAAGTGGTTGAGAAGGAACCTGCCACCAGGTGGGGAATGCCCCGTGTCTGTGCTTGCCAAAGAGGCCACGTGGTGCCTGGACATGTCAGGAAGTGCTGGGAACATAGGTCCACACTGGGAAAATCTCCTTATAGGCTGGTGGGGCAGGAGACCTTTTTGTGTCCAAGTTGCATTGGTCTGAAAGTATAATTAAGTCCCTGGGCCCCTTCACCCATAACTGGAGAATCCCCAAAGTTCTGTGGTCAACCTGTTTGACCAGTGACTGACCAATCCTGAGAGGAGAGACAAAAACACACAGCTTTATCCACGGACAAATCTCAGCACTTTATTCATCCCTTGGCAGGGAGAAGGGGGGCATTGCCCCAAGACAGCCAGCCAGGTGGAATGGCTGGGATATGTGTTGTCTACCCAGAGAGTAAATACAGCACTGATTAGGCAGAAACAGGAAGGGAAGCAATAAGTTAAAAGCCACATAAGTTACGAAAAATAATACATATACTTTATATATCTTGTATCCCCACTGAGGATTTGCTCCCTTGGAAACCAATAAATAGGCAGAGAAAGAGCAGCAATCAGCGCCCTTTTTGGGACTTCCGGGGTGAGTATAAGTCCGAGTTCCCTCCAGCCTGAGCGTCGTTAGCCCTTCAGCGCCCCCCACAGGCATGGAGGACCTTGAGGTCCTGCTGGGGCCAAGGCCTATGGGAAGGATGTCCTGGAAAGTGAGATGAAGGAATGGGAGACTGGGGCTAGCGAGGAGTGAGGCAAGGGGCAGGGAGGGAGCAGGGAGGGAAGGGAAGAGGGTGGGTGGTGGAGTGGGCGGCTGGAGCTGCCAGGATCGCCCTGCAAGCCCCAAAGTTGAGAGCCAAGACAAGGAAAGAGGAATGCTCCTCCCAGCACCAAATCTTCTCTTTGGAGGCAGAATTCCTTTTCGGTTGTCACTGGGGCTCCCCAGCCCAACCGGAAGGGCTCAGAAACTCCCAGACCTGCCTGGACTGTGCCTTCTTCATGGCCCCTGCTCGGGAGGCAGGGGAGTGGGTGTGGTGGGGAGAGGGGGCCGAAGGGGAAGAAAAGAAACAGCTCTAACCTCACAGGTGCGGGGTGTTCCTGGGCTCCTCAGTAAATGTAAGGAAGGATGGAGGGGAGGGCCGGGCTGTTTGGCCTGATGGAGAGAGCAGGGACCCTGAGAGGTGGGATTCATGGGGAATGGCCCCGGGTTTGGTGCTGGGGGCGGGGCTAGGGGTCTCCAGGGCCTGGTCTACCGAAGCCAGGTTTCAGGCTTGGGAAACCCCTAGGCTGGGGAGGGGGGGGTGTGGAGGGTGGGGGGCAGAGAGCTCGGATCCTGGGTAGGGTGGTGAACCCCAGGACGGCAGGGAGGAGAAGGGAGGGCCAAATTCCCCTGCCTAGTCTCAGGCTGCTATCTAGCCTCCCTCTCACAGGGGGTTTATCGTGGCAAGAATAGCTTCTGGAGAAGGAGCCAGGAGCTGGCTGCGCAGCCTGTCCAATTCTGACTGGCCCTCTGTGAGGGCCCCACAGGAGGACAGAAGTGGCACAGGTGTCTGGGCTGACCTCAGAGGTCCATGCTCAGGGCCCACACACCCGGGGAGCTTCCTCCCTTTACTCCCTAATACTGTCAGGTCTCTGGAGGTGCCCAGGTTGTGCAGGAAACCCAGGGGTTGCTCAGCACTCAGTCTCCCCAGGAGCTCCAGATAGGGGGAGGGTGCCCAGGCAGTCCTCCTCAGCCCCGGGTCCATGGCTGGCTGGGGCTGGGTGAGCGAGGGCACCAGCCTCGGTCCTGAGGCAGAGGCAAGGTAGGGCTTGGTAAGTGAATTCAGGGCAAGGGTTGGGCGAAAAGGGTCAAAGTCAAAGGTTCCTTGGTGGGAGCCCTCTGTCTGGGGAGGAGCCTCAGAAGAGAAAGGAGGTGGAGAGAAAACTGACCCCTAGTTCCAGTCTACCCAGTCGGACCACTGGCAAGAAGGTTAGAAGGGTAGGGCTGGGATATTGAGGTGGAGCGGCATGATTCTTAGTAGCCGGTGACAGCCCTGTACTACCCCCAGCCACCCACAGGAAAGCTGTCCCGGTTTTGAACCCTCCCCCTTTCAGTTCAGGATCAGGTTTGCCTCCCCGCCCAACGCAGAGGTTCCAAGCTGCTTGCTTGAGTCTAGCTGAAGTCCCTCCAGCTGCAGGGGGACGACCTAGGCTCCTGGGCTCCAGCTGCCTTACTCTGAGACCTCTGACTCCTGCGACAGGAACTTCTCAGACATTTCGGTGATTTTGATCACAGGGCCTTTTCTGTTCTTCTTTTTCCGGGAGGGGGCTCTCGAAAGGCTAGACTTGGAGGCAGCTACAGGGAACATAAGGGGTGGGGCAGGGAAGGGGCTGGAGGTTGGGGGGCCACTTAAAATGACGCCTTTAGGGTCATGATTGCCCGCACCATGTCCCCTTCCTCGCCATGGGTTTCTAGGGAAGTAGACTCACCGGTTCTGGACGTGGACTGCACCACGCTGACCATGGCGGCTGAAGGCAAGTCCATTCTGGGGGAGGATGGAAATGGGGGCATTTGAAGGGGGCCTGTGGCTCAAGCCCCCGCTGGGCCTGGGGGCCCTGGGGAATGGCAGGTGGAGGGCAATTCTTGGTTGTTATTCCCAGCCCCGGGCTGCCCTGCTGTGTGACTTTGGCGAGCCAGTTTGTCCTCTCTGGGCCTCTGTTTCTTCTTCCCTGGACAAGTGGCTAACATTTACAGAGCACTCAATTGTGACAGATATTTGCGTGCAGAATAGTAGCAGTCCTCCCCACCATAGGCTGTGTTATGATCGGCCCATTTTCCAGATAGGAAAACTGAGGATTTAATGAATGGGCCAACGTCCCAGTTTGTAAGTGGCTGAGGCCAGACACGATCCCAGGTCTTCCTGGCTCATGGTATCCTGCTGGAGGTGGAGGCTGGCTTTGTGTGGGGCTGGCCCTCCGGCCCTGCCTTCCCGCAGCCCCACCCTGCTGGCCCCAGCCCTCACCGGCTCTCCTCGCCCTCCACCAGCTTGCGGTAGGTGGCGATCTCGATGTCCAGGGCCAGCTTGACGTTCATGAGCTCCTGGTACTCGCGCAGCTGCCGGGCCATGTCCTGCTTGGCCTGGTTCAGGGCGGCCTCCAACTGGGCCAGCTTGGCTTTGGCGTCCTGGAAGGCCAGCTCCCCCTGCTCCTCCGCCGCCTTGATGTTCTCCTCCAGCTTCAGGCACTGCAGAGGGAAGGGGTTCATGAGCACTGGGGGGAAGGAGAGAGTGGGCCAGGAGCCGGCCTCTGCCCTCCGTGGGGGTGTGCAGGGCAGGGAGGGCTGAGCAACAGTGTTCTTGGGCGTGGCAGGGGGTCGCCTTGCAGCAGGAGGGAGTTCAGTTAGACCTAAGGAGACCCCTTCCAGAGGCCATGAAAGAGGGAAGATGCACAGCACCCAGAGGAGCCTGTCCCAGCTGTTCTGACAGGGCGGCACCTCCTCCAAAGTGCTGGCTGGAAGCTGGGCTTAGGCTTCCAGCCCCTTCTCAGTACTGTTGGCCCGAGGCCTGGGAGGGAGGAGGTGGGCTCTGGTGGTTTGTCGTGGGGGGGGGTCTGTATTGTTCCCACAGCCCTGGCCAGTTTACAGACCACCTTCACCTGTGACGCTCATGTGGTCCTCACAGCCATCTTAGGAGGACAGGAGAGGAAACTGAGGCACAGAGCTGCTAAGTGACCTGCGCAGGGTCTTGCATGTAAGTGTGTGTGTGTGTGTGTGTGTGTGTGTGTGTGAGAGAGAGAGAGTGTGCCCTTGCACTCCTCCCTGCCTCACCCCCAGGTGGGTCCTCCAGATACTCACGTGACTCTTGATGGAGAGGATCTGGGATCGAAGCCTCTGGATGCGCACGTTGAGGTCAGTGATCTCACTGCGGCTGCTCTGGAGGCTGTTCCCAAACTCAGCTGAGCAGGCAGCCCGCTCCTCCAGCTGGAGGACGTGCAGGAGGTGACAGTGAGGGGCAGTTCACCGGGTCCCTCCCAGCACCCTTGCCCCTCGCCCCTCGCCCCTTGCTGCTCCTTTTTTCTCTCACCTCCCAGCCCCTCCTCTTCCTCTGGAGCCCTACACTCGCAGGCCAGCCTCGCCCTCTGATGCCCACCATGCCCAGCTCTGGCCGGGCCCACCCCTGGCCTGGTGTTACTGGGTGGTGGCACTGCTGTGAGCTCCTGGAGGGCGCAGACCCTGGCCTTTCCCCCACCGTATGGCCCCTTGTCCCCCGCAGTGCTGGGCTCTCACATTCTCTGTCGCCCCATGCTCCCCACTGCCCTTTCAGAGACTCTCAGTGCTCAGAGCTGAAGGTGACTTCAGCCTTCCCTGGGGCGGCGCCTCCTGGGCTGGCAGCTTCCTGCCCCCTAGGTCAGCCCCGCTCGGTCAGCCCCGAACCTGTCTCCGGGAGTAGGCCTCGGCTTCCTCCAGGCTGCGAGCCGCAATGGCGTCATACTGGACCTTCACCTCCTCCACGATGCCGCTCAGGTCGATGTGGCAGCGGCTGTCCAGGCCCACGGTCACCGACACGTCCTTCACTTGGGCTGCCAGGTCCTTCAGCTCCTGGCCAGGCACAGACGTGGGGGCTCAGGGCTGGTGGGGGGGCACCAGACCCTCAGCCAGCCATGGTCCCTGCGTCCCCAGGGGGAGTGGCCCTCTCTGTGTCCCAGAGAGATGACCCAATGATAAGGCCTCCCTGCCATGCGCCCTCAGCTCTGACTCTTGGGAAGCAGTTGGCCACCCCTGCTCATCCACAGCTTGGCCTCCCTCTCTGGGTGGAGGGGACAGGGCAGTGAGGGGCTCCTGCTTCCAGAGGCTCACTACAAGCCTATTTATTTCTCTTCAGTGTTCCCACCTCTCCCAGGGCGGGACACTTTCCTCCTGGCTGGTGTGGCAAAGGCCCAGGATGTCTGGCCCCTCTGCTCCATTATGGCTCAGTGGTGTGCAGCTCGGTCTCCCCCTCTGGATGGGAGCTCCCTGAGGGTCTGGGGAGCCACTGTCCTCTCTGGGTCCCCCCGCATCTGGAAGTGAGCAGCTCAGTTTGCATATTGGAATGGGAGCCCATGAGTGATGAGGGGCAGGAGTGGGGCTGTACTCCCTGCTCCCCTGCCGGGGCAGAGGCCAAGGCGAGTTCAGGGTCACCCTGGAGGCTCGTTGCCCCTCCCCATCTGGCTGACCAGCTCGCCTGCAACAATGCAATTTGACCTCAATGTTTTCATCTTCTCCCCATCCTTTAGGATCCCTCTTTCCTCCTCCTCTCTGTCCTTCTCTCTGCTTAGAAAATGCCAGCCCGCATCCTCAGAGAGCCCTGGAAGTGGTAAACTTCTCATTTCTCCGGGGGGACTCATTACAGGCCAGGCTCCTCGCCAGGCCCGCATGACCTCTAGCCCCAGGTTACAGAGAGGAAAGACACGGCGGCACGGAGGGGTTATGGAGACAGCTGTGGGCACAGAACAGGCCCCCAGAGCCCTTGCTGTTCCCGTCAAGCTCCCCTAGAGGGGCAGAGACAGGAGCCGGAACGTGGGTCTGTCTTCCTAGTTCCAGCTTTTGGGCCTGAACGCTCAGGAGTGTGTAGAGAGGCAGGTGGGGACAAGGGTCTTCCCAAGGGGCTGCAGGTGTCACCTTTCAGGCCCTGGGCCGCTGCCCCTGGAGGTGCCGAACCACCCAGGCCTGGGCCGGGCTGGTGCGGGAAGGAGGAGCGAGGGGCTGTGGCCAGCACTGTACTGGTAGAGTGAGTCAGGTGGCAGGGAGGGGGCCAGGCACCCTGGGAGGCAGGGGTGGGGCTCACCTGGGGGAGGGAGGGTGTGGGGCACACAATTACTCCTACTGGTATTCACAGTTCACCCTGACCCTTACTTAAGTACTTCAGTCAGCAAGTTTTGGTCAGTGTTCCCATTTTTCTGATTGCTTCATATATGTGTGTGTATTTATACAGACCATATATGTATGTGGTTTTTCTTTTGTTTGTTTGTTTGAATCAGGATCCAAAGAAGATCCCTATTTTGCAATCGGTCCATATGTCTCTAAGTCTCTCTTATTCTACAGCTATGCCTCCATCTCTCTCTCTCTCTCTCTCTCTCTCCTTCTCTCTCTTCTTTGCTATTTTTTGTACTGAAAACACTGGGTTGCTCGTAGCACTGCCCACAGTATGGACCTTACTGGCCGCACCGTGTGCTGGTGTGGAACCCGTTCTTCTGCCCCGTGCATGTCCTGAGACCTGGCAGCTGGGGCTGAGGCCTGCTCAGATCCAGGTTCAGTTTTTGTCTCATGACCGCATTCTGACCTTGGGTGCTAACTTTGGCCTCCCTCCTGACCCTCGGTCTGGCTTTATGCACAGAGTGGCTGTGGTTGGTTGAGCCTCTGGAGTCTGTAGCGGCTGAGGCTGGTGCTCTGACCCACAGCTTGTACCCTGCGGGGTGGGCTGGGTCAGCTAGAGCCCCAGGGGCGGCTGCGGAGGCCTGCTGAGGAAGGCCGCCCCTCCCCTGTCTGCTAGCTGCCTGACCCTGCCCACCTGCATCCCTGCTGACAAGGATGGGCTCCTGCAAAAGGAAGCTTAAGGCAAAGACCTGCTGGGGGCAACCTGTTTCCATCCCGGAGCTGACAGGACCCTGAGCCTAGTGGCCAACTGCCCCTTAAGGACTCCTGATGAAGGATTTTGGTTGATCTTCAAAAGAACTTAGCAAACATCTCTGGGCAAAAGCAGGGGAAGGCCCGACCCCTTGGCAGAATAAGGTCGATGGTACCTACAGACTCATGTCCCACCTCTGCTGCTCGGACCAAGCTTAGAGACTGGCATTTCCCACATGGAACCAGGATCCCAGGCAGGCCTTGGCTGTGGACAGTTTCAGGAATGCAGCTTTGAGGCTTCCTTGGTCAACATGTTATGGGGGTGGCGGGGGGTCAGTGGGCATAGAGAGTTCCAGAGAAAGCCCAGGCCTGAGTTGGCATTTGTTATGGGCCAGGAAAAGGCCAGGGCATTGTCAGAATGCACTGGAGTAGGGCTTCCCCTAGCAGGGAGAAGGGATTGGCAAAACAGAGCCGATGGAGCAGGCTCGGATCCTTTCTGGAAGGAGGCACGGTCAGCATGAGCTTAGTAAACAGGAGTAGGAAATGGAGGGTTTAGAACATCCGTAGGCCTGTTGAGGCACGCCGGCCCCTGCTGGGCCGCAGAGGGTATAACAATGCTGGCTTGTGTGCTGCTACCAAGGGATGGGCCCTCCAGGTTGGCAAGAATTGAGCCAAGGTGAAGTTTAAATCTTCTCTTCAGAGCCTGAGCCTGAGCAGACAGCCGCGGGTGGGACCACCCTCTTTGTGGTCTCCAGGTCAGGGGAGGCGGTGACCCTGAGGGGTAATTTAGAGCTGCTCCATAAAATGTAGTGCTTAATGGCACCAGGAGCTGAATACTACCCCTTCTTAGTAGCTGTGTAACCCTGGCCAGGTTTTAAACCTCTTGGAGCCTCTGTTTTCTCATCTGTAAAACGGGTATGATTACCAAATTGAAACCAGCTAACATTTATTAATACTTACCATGTACCAGATACTGTTCTCCCTGCTTTAGGATATATTAACAAAATAGATCCTCATGACAGGCCAGTGAGCTAGGCTCTATCATTTTCCCCATTTTACAGATGGGGAAATTGAGATATAGAGAGATAGAAGAACGTGTTAGAGTTCACACAATGACTGAGCCAGGATCCAAATCCAAGCTGCTCTAAAGTTTGTGCTCCCCTAATCATGATCCCTACCTTTATAGGGTTGCTGTGAGGAGTAAATGAGATTACACCTGGAAAGCATTTCACACAGTGCCTGGGGTAGAGTAGGTGCTCAGTAGATAGTAGCTAAGGATACTATTGTTGTAACAGGTGATGAAGCTGGGGTGAAGGGTCCAGGGGCCGAGCAGCCTCCCTGGCAGTACGAAGGCAGGCGCCAAAGCAGCTTAGACACATTAGGCTCTCTCTGCAGGGAAGGGCATTCTGCGAGGTGCGCCCGGCTGCGGGGGGTTGTTGGGAGATTGCACAGCTGATCTCCCTGGAACGAGAGCTGATGGGTGGGGCAGGTGGCATTCTGGCTGGATGCAGCCAGGCCCCAAAAGCACCTGGGAGCTGGCGTGTACCTTGGAAGCTGAGGGGAAGTGTGAGCCCCTGGGTCCTCTTACCGGCTTGTGTCCCTGGAGGTGAGGGGCAGAGGGGTTACCCGGGAGGCTGCGGTGCATACGTGAGGCCCTGAGCAGCCCATGGCCATTGGCTTCTGAGAATTTATTCTGGCCATGTGCGTGCGTGCGTGTGTGCGTGTGTGTGTGTGTGTATGTGTGCAAGAGAAAAGGGCTGTTTTCTGAAATGCCGAGGTGGGCCTCCACAGCCATGCTTTTCTGACCTGGTATCTGCTCCAGAGTCGAAACTAGATTGTCCAGCCCTCCTGGGGCTACTCACGTCCTGCCCTGTTTTTCTTTCACCTGAGGTAGCCATGGCTGGCACCTTCCTTTGCTGAGACCTGCTTGGTCCCATGTGGTAGCCACGAGCCATATGAGGCCATGGGCACTTGACCGGTGGTAAGTCTGAATTGAGATGAGCTGTAGGTGTAAAATGCACACTGATTTTGAAGACTTGGCATGAGAAAAAGATTGTAAGACAGCCTATTAATTTTTTGTACTGGGCGCCTGGGTGGCTCAGTTTGTTAAGCATCTGCCTTCGGCTCAGGTCATGATCTCAGGGTCCTGGGATCGAGCCCCGCGTCGGGCTCCCTGCTCAGCAAGGAGCCTGCTTCTCCCTCTCCCCTCCGCTTATCCTCTCTCTCAAATAAATAAATAAAATCTTAAAAAAAATTTTTTTAATTGATTACCTGCTGACTAATCACATTTGGATATATTGGGCTGAGTAAATTGTATTATTAAAATGAATTTTTTCTGTTTCTTTTTTTAAAATGTGGCAACTAGAAAAAACAATTACATGTGTGGCTCACTTTGTATTTCTCTTACTGCCAGCTTAGAGACCCACTGGTGTGGGGAATCTTTTTAGCATAGGATCAGGGCTGCCTTCTCCGCCTGCAGCAGTGCCTGAAGAGAGACGCAAACCTTACGACCCGACACCAACTTGGCGCCTCGCTGCCCCCCAGAGTAATCATCCCTGCGCCATGCACCGAACAACCCCACATCCACAGCAGTCCCGTTTCTCCGCGGCGCTGCCATGACAGCACAAGCCATACCTTTACCCTCTCTGTACCACCCCCCGCCCCCGTACCCCCAGGAGCTGCCCATCACACTTAGAATAAGATCCAAACCCCGACTCGGGGCCCAGGGCCCTCTGTAAGCTGACCCTGGCCAGAGCTCTTCCTTCCCCCCTTTGTCACCAGATTCACTCCTGCCCTTGATGCTTGACCCTCCTTCTGCCTGCAGCCCTCTCAGCTCTTCACTGGGCTGGCCCTCCCCAGGCTGGGCCTTCCCTCTCTTGTACCTCCTCTGAGACGCCCCCTGACCTTGACTTTCCCCTTCCCTCCAGCACTACCACATCATCGGGTTCTGTGCAGCCCGGCCCTTTTCACCCTCCCAAATGATCTTGCTGAGATGTTTGTTGACTTGCTTATTACCTGTCTCCCCTTTTAGCTCAGTGGCAGCCCCCAAGAACATGGACTTTGCCCGTCACGCTCACTGCTATTATCAGTGCCAGGCACCCCGCAGGGGAGCAATAAACATTTGTTACCCGGATGAACGGATTTAGTCATCAGCAGAACCTGATGAGCCTGGTATTACGACTCTCCCCATTTTACTGATGAGGAAACTGAGGCAAAGAGAGGAGAAATAACTAGCCCAAAGTCGCAGAAACGGAAAAGAAGTTAGGGCAAGGATTGGGGTCCAAGGGCTGCTAAATCCAGATGGAGCAGGGGCCACAGAGTTTTGTGGGGGGGACTCTAGCAATGCCCAGGCCTATCGCTGGCTATGCCTGGCCTACCTCCAGTTAAGTCTCCATGCCGGCTGGGCCTCTGTCCTGCCTGGGAGCTTGGGCTCTGGGCTTGCCGAGATGCACAGAGCCCAGTGCAGATTCTGAAACATTGGCCCTGGGGCTGTCTGCCTGGCTCCACAGGTAGTGTGGGCAGGGGAACTCCTAGCCCACTTCTCAGGCCGGTCAGTGGGCCCGGTGCCCTGCTCAGCCCCAGAGGGCTTGGCCTGGTGTGGGAAGCTTCTTAGGGCGGCGGAGGTCCTGGTCCGCCTGGAAGGGCTACCTTCCTGCTGCTCTCCAGGGTTGTGCTGTTCTCTCCGCCAGGCCACCTCCCATGGCCACAAACAAGTCTCAGGCCCACGGAAGTCCCCGCTGGGGGCCGAGCCTGCTGGAGAGCAGTGTGGCCCATATACAGCTATGAGGCCCAATCCCCCTCTCCACAGGACGAGGCCGCCAAGCTGTGGTCAGCAACCCCTAGGGCCACTTTAGCAGAACTCTTCATTTCATTTCATTTCATTTTTATTTTTTTAAAAGATTTATTTATTTGAGAGAGAAAGAGAGAGAGCAGGGGGAGGGGCAGAGTAAGAGGGAGGGAGAGAATCTCAAGAGGCTCCCTGCTGAGCGCGGAGCCGAGAAGGGGCTTGATCCTACGACCTTGAGATCATGACCTGAGCCGAAACCAAGAGTCAGATGCAAAACCTTAACCGACCAAGCCACCCAGGCGCCCCCATTTTAGCAGAACTTTTTGATGGCTGTGATGACTTTGATCCCTGCTCTGATCTTGGCCGCACTGCCATAGTTTGGCACCGGTGGTTTGTGGCACACAGACTGCCAAGCCCTGCCGTCCCCACAGTGGCTCGGCCTGCTTCTAGCTCAACTGCAGCATGGCCCCTCTAGCTCCTGACTCCCGAAACAGGGGATGTGGTGCCCGGGGGCAGAGTGGAGGGGAGGGGAGCGTCCGCAGTCAGCATCAGGGCCCATCTGGGGACCTGGCCGTGGGCTAAGGCCTTGTGGGGTCATGGTCCCCCTAGGCTCAGGCAAGGACGTAGGGACACAATCAGAAAGGGATTCAGAGGCTCCTCTGTCTGCATTTACCGGGTCCTTTTTGTTCCGGCAGAAGCTAGCATTGTCTGGGAACTCAAGAATCTGACCACAGGTCTTCTCAGTCTGACCACAGTTCTCTCCTGCCAAACAGGGGAGGGCCATGGGCATGTCTGTCCGAGCTAGGCCTGTGGGTGCCTGCCATTTAGGCTGCAGGGGGCGGGGAGAGATGAGTTCAATAAGAATAGCTGTTCAAGGCCCCCTGGTTCCCTGTCTCTCAGGCCACTTCCCAACCCTTGCCTGGATGCACCGGCCCCCGACACGCCCTCCACACTCCAGCACACTCAAAGAAACAGGTCCTCCTTGAGCGCGAGGCCTCTTGGGAACTTGCCGGTGCTCCATGAATGGAGGGATGAGGGGACATATTGTTATTGACTGCAGCGCGGGAAGGGGTTGGGAGATTGTTATGTCTGTGTTATGTCTGTAATGACTGCCGAAGTTTCCATGCCTCACTGGACACCCTTCCCTCCCCCACATCCCTTACCTGGGGACAAGTCAGCTCTTCGCTCAGTGGGACACTGGTCTCATTTTCTCACCTGCTCATAGATGTTTTTCATCAGCTCCACGAAGCTCTGCAAGCCTTTTAACTTGGTTTCCAGTTCGGTCCGACGAAGACACTCCGCATCCAGGTCCTGGGGGTGGGAGCAGTGGTGAGTGCCAGGGGAAGGGGGGGTCTCAGGGCGGGAGTGGGGTGCTCATCTCCCTGAGGGAGATGGGGGTGACTCCCAAGGGAGCCCTGGCTCAGTGCCCGGGAGAAGCAGCAGGGTGAGGACAGGTACCCATGTCTGTCTGTGGTCCCGGGACTCAAGCCGCTGAGGGCTTTGCTTGGGGAGCCTGAGGGAACGAGGGCAGAGGGTCCATGAGGAAGAAGCCCCTGGGGCAGGCTGGGCGGGCTACCTTCTTCAGCTGGACGAAGGTGAACTCCATGTCTGTGCGCCTGGAGATTTCCTCCTCATACCTGGGAGCGGGGGAGGGAGGGAGGGAGCGAGGCAGCGGCAGAGAAAGAAAGAGAGAGAGGCTGCTCAGCTGCAGGTGGCAGGAGCTTGGGGTATGATTATCCCTCCTGGAGTCGGGCTCAGGGCCTCTGCTGTCCCATTTGGTGCCTTGTGCCAATTAGAAAAAAAGTGGCCTTTGCCTCGGGTGGATGCAGCCCCTCATCTATGACACATGCCTTCTAAGCCCATGACACCATTCTCTCACTCCTTCTGGATGATCAGCCAGTTCTCTCCCAGGGCTCATCTGTCCCCTTCCTGGCTCTTCCTCATATCCACCTCCTCCTGGAAGCCTCTCCTGATTGCGCAGCCCTGTCACCCTAACTTTGTTCTTTCATCTTTTCCTTATCTCCTCCCCCAAGAATCTCCATTTCCTACAAGCTGTGTCTTTGGCCGAGTCTGTTCTGAGCTGTCTGCTCATGGCCCATCCTCTCCCACCTCCCCGCCTCCCCTCTGCATTGCTAGCTGGTAGGACACCATTCCATCATGTTCCCTCCCGAGGCGAGAGTGTGGACCTTGCAGTCAGATAGACCCACAGTGTGTTCTTGGGCAGGTAACTGCACTCCCCTTTCCTCAGCTCGTCCGTCTATTAGGGGTGTGTGTGTGCACGTGCGGGGATCGGGCCAAGCCCACCCCCGGTACAGTGACAGGGGTGCATAGTCGATACGCCACAAAGGTGGGTTCCCTCTCTTAGCTTTGCCTCCTCCTTTCTCTACTCCACCTTGTGTTTGGAACAAGGACACTGTTGGACGAGAGATGGCATCTCTGGGTCTCTGACCTTAACCCCTTGCTCTAATCAAACCTCTGTCTTGGCCCTCCCCAGGGTGGGTGTCTACCAGGGCAGACTTCTTGCCCTCAGCCCCGCCTGCCTCCATGCATGTGGAGATTCTGTGGCTTCCAGGGAATGCCTGAATCACTGGCGGCTCTAATTACAGTTGCCCGCCCGCCCCGCTCCCTGACCTCATGGCAGGGGCAGCGTCACCCTTCGCCCACGTCAGCTGGCTGGACCTGCCGCCACTCAGGCCTTGCTTTCCACCAGCTTTTACCTGAGAAGCTGAGGGGAGCAGGCCCCAGCTAAGAGCCCGCCGGGCACGGTTTCTCTGAGACTCAGTGTGCTTAGCGCACGGACTCCCGGCTGCTGCCTTGGCTTCCCAGAGTCTGCAAGGGGCTTTCAGGAGGCGGGTCACGGGCGTGGGGTGGAGGGTGGGCCAGGGGGACTGGTCTGCAGTCTGGGGCCTACCAGAGCCAAAAATATGCCCAGGAAGCTTTCCTTGCGCCCTTTTCTGTGCAACTGGGCTCCAGAGCCCCACTGCTTGGGTTTAGGTCCCGGCTCCTTGCTAACTAGCTGTGGGACCTTGGCTAAGCTGCTTGTGCGTGCCTCAGTCATGACAATAGTGATGTCACGAGGGTTATATAAGTTAATACACGGAGTGTTTACAACAGCGCATGGCCCCGGCTAATGCTATTATTATTACCTGAGCTCTGGTCTATCTAACATCAGGCTCTGGCCCTCATTCCCTCTGCCTTGGCCTCTAGCCTTTCTGGAGACAAAGCGTGGGAAGCCTCATGGCAGAGAGAGCGGATGGTTCTCTGCACTTCCATCCCAGACTTCCCACTGGGAATTTGGTGGCCTCTGAGGACTTCCCTGCCCTGGGGGTGGGAGTCTAGAGAGCCCCAAGCTGAGAAGGCCCTCATTGGCTGGCCCTCCCTGTGTAAGCCCAGTGGTCAAGGCTCTCCCCTTCTCCCCTCCCATCTGGATAGCAGAGTTCTGCCTGCTTGGGGGCAGGACCTTGGAGATAGCTGTCCAGTGGGGGTTCTCTGAGGTGTCAAACCTCCTCCTTACCCCTCACTGTCCTTCCAATCCTTTTGTATAGCCTTCCCTCCTCCCATTTCACCAACTCCACTGGATTTCAGCCCTAGTTCACCCCCTCAACCAGAAGCTCTTGTGCAGTAAACCTCCTGCACAACAGTACATGGCACCCCCGAGTCACTTGCTATGTGGCCTTGGGCAAATGATGTCCCCTTGTGGGGCCTCTGCTTCATCCTTAGTAAATACAAGGGTTAGCTAGCTGATCCTTGGGGTCCTGGCTACGTCGAAGCTTTTGGAAGTCTCTGTCATTACAGAGACTTAGGTAAATGCTATCTCCCCCACTCCACTCCCAATCCCCCGCCAGTCTGCCAGTCACCAGTTCCCAAACCCATTCTCAGCCCTTTGCAGCTTGTCACACCCACCCCACCCGCCCCCCTCCCCCCCACTTGTTTATTTCTAGGAGCGAAGCTGATCTCATCGGCCTTGTAGAGGCAGGGCACACCCCTCCCTGTCAGGGCTTGGCCTGGCGTCTCCAGGATCCTGGTGCCCCCCAGGCTCTACACAGCCAAGCTGCAGCTTCCCTGGCTGTGGCCTGTGGATCTAGAAGCCCTCTAACCTCACCTCCCCCAAGCCTGGTGGGTTTCCTACCCAGAGAGGGGAAGAGAGGCTCTGAGCCAAAACAGTAAGCTCAGGGCGCAGATGGAAACCAGGCAGCAGGCCAACTGAGGAGGCTGAAGCAGATTAAAACAACAAGTAGTGTTTGTACAGAACTTCCAGTTACAAAGTGCCTCCATGGACGTGATCTGGCTGGGCTCATGGGAGCAGCCTCCTCCCGCAGCTGGCTGGGGTTACGGATGGGCTTAGCTCACATGGCTGTGTGCCTGAGGACAACTCCCTGCCCTCTCTGGGCCTGTGTTTCCTTCCCCATGAAAGGATGATCCCAGTCCCCCATCCAGCCATTCTCTGGTTTTTTGAGAGCCAAAGAGCTGCCAGACATCAGTGAAACAACTCTTCGATTCTGGTGTGCCAACACGATTCCCCTCATCATGGTCAGATGTTGAAGCTAGGCAGCTTGGAACGGGCAGTGAGGTTCCCCGTGGGTTTCTGTAGGAACTGGTAAGGCGGGCTGGGGGGAGAGGGCCCCTCGGCCATGGAGTGGCCCAGCCATGAGGAGGAGCCCAGGCCAGGGCTGCAGATCATGCTCGTTGGCCAGAGAGTTCCAGATAGATCCACAGATGAGGATATTGAAGCCCCCAGAGTGGGGAGAACTTGCCACGTGACCATCTGTGAATATGGCCTGAGCAGGGGAGGTCATAAGGAGAGGTGGTGGGCAAGCTGAGCCACAGCCCAGAACTGGACTCCTGACAGGCTGCCCCAGTCCCTTGGCTGCTCCCAAGACCACAGGCCTCACCTTGGGTTGGCAGGGCTTGGGGCTGGGCCAAGCGCTGGAGGAAGGGAGGGGAGGGGTTCAGGCATATCCCACCCTCCCTCACCCAGGCCGAGGGCCTCCTCAAAAGGACACCAGACCAGAGGAAGGAGCGCAGAGGCACAGTCTCTCTGCTCTGTCTCAGCTTCCTTGTCCTTGAAGCCCTGCCCGCTGTCTGGTCAGAGATGTCACCTGTCCTCTGAGGGACCCCAGCACCTGGTCTGCCTCTCCTCACTGCCCAGTTGAGTTCAGCACACCCGTGTCAAGGACTACTGTTAGCCTTCTATGGGGTAGAAGAGTTGCCGTTTATGGCGGCCAGGCACCATGCTGAGCTCTCCACTTCCTCCTCACGGCAGCCTCAGGATGGTTCAGCATCATCACTCCCAGTCCACACAGGGCGATACTGAGGTTTGGATGTTGAGCCACTTGCCTGAGGTCACAGAGCTAGTGAGGAGTGGAGGCCAGGAGTGAACCCCTTCCAGTCTATGAGCACCTCACAGGCTGGGGCTGTGGTTTTTCATCTCTCTAGATCCCAAGGCGACCACTGAGGTCAGGCATGCATTACCTACAGGGGATTGCTTCTTTATTCCAACAGACCCCCCCCCCCAGTTTCTGCCCCCTGCCTTCCCTTTCCAGCCCACTCAAGATCAAATTTCCAAACATCTGTTGTTCTAGCTGTTGACAATTTCCCATTGCCAGTGGGATGTGTGGGCGAGAGCAAGTGTGTTTATGGGCACGGGAGGAGGGGACAGGGCACAGGGACTGCAATGGTGCCCAGGGCCGGCAAGCATAGGGCTTAGCTGTCCGTCAGCATGAGACTGACTTGGTTGCCAGGGGCACTATTTGGGAGGGTTGCTGTAGGTTCACGGCCATCTCCTCCCCATATTTAGAATACTGGCTGGCACATAGTCGGTCCCCAGTAAGCACGTCTATAGTCAAGAGATGTTCTTTAAGGATGTTTTCTCGTTTTCTGGCTTGGGTGCCCGGGGCCTTGCATCCGGGTGCGGGTCGTTTCCCACCCTCGGCCCCTGCCCACAGCCTCACGGGGGCTCACCCTACCTGATTCGAAACTCCTCGACCTTCTGGAGCACCTGCAGCAGGTTGGCCTCCAGCTGTCCTCGCTCCTGGCTCACTTTGAGCAGCTCCTCCTGCAGCCGGCCCTGGTACTCCTCATAGAGGTGCCCGAGGTCGAAGGTGCTGGAGTCCTGGCCTTGCAGGAAGCGCCAGCGGGTCTCCAGCAGCTGGTTGCGCTGCTCCAGGGCCTGCACCTGGGAGAGCAGGGGAGTGGCAGTGAGAGGGCCCGGCGCGGACGCCCCTGGACAGTCAGCGGGCCCGCATGGGGGCCTCCCCGGGCAGTGGAGGCTCATCTGCTCTGTGCTCACCTCCCCCCCCCCGCCCCCCCCGGGGCCTCACTGGGCGCAGCCGGATCACATCTCCAATTGCGGATGGTTCACACAGAAGATGGCAAGATAAGGAGGGAATCAGAAAGGGGTGGAGTCAATTAGCCAAGGTTTCCTCGGGGAGGAGCGGGGCCCGAGAGAGGAGGGAAGGGACTGAGTGGGCCCATGAGGTGACAGGCCCTCCATGCCCGCCTGGGGCTTGGGTGGGAGATCCCAGGGAACACAGGGTGTCAGAGGCCTGTCTGCCGTCCCCTCCCTGCCCCCCCCAACCTGACAAGCCTAGTCTCATCTTGCCGTGGAAGCTCAGCAGTGCAGGGCCTGGCGAGGACTTCATTGTTAATGCTCCCAACAACCCTGGACTTGTAGCCTCTCCAAGCCTCAGTTTCCCCAGCTAGAAGTTGGGGCTGACACGGCCTGCCCTGGCCGCCTCTCAGGGCTGTCTGGGAGAGGAAGCTGGGGATATGCTCCGGAACAGTAATACTAGCAAGTGTTTATGTGTTCCCTACTGTGAGCCAGGCCTTGTTCTAGATGCTGGACAACTTTGCCTCATTAGATCCCCAGGTCCTGATGGGCTAGGTGTAGTCGTCCGCCGCACTTTACAGAGAGGCCAAATAACTGGCCCAAGGTCACAAAATTAGCAAGTGGCCGAGCCAGGTGTGGAATCCAGGGCAGTGGGGGGTTAGACTCTTTTAACCCCCACAACATGGGGCTCCTGTCTGCGGCTGGAGTCGCCGCGGGCCCTGGGACCCACCTGCCCTTCCTGGATTGGCGGCTGCCTCTAGTTGGGGCTGGCGTTGCCTTGAGGGTGACGACTGGAAGGGCTCTGGGCACAGGTGCTACTCTCAAACTGCCTCCTTCCCTCTCTCCTCCTCACACTGCTGCAGGGCCTCCCACGGCTCCGAGCCCAACCACTGCACGCTGTCAGGATCCCTCTTGAATCCTCTCCTGCCCTCCACCCAGTCCAGCCCAGGGCAGCCTGGGGGGCCCCCTGCCTCTGCCCAGGCTGCCTGTTCTCTCCAGGCTCCGGCCTTCCTCCGACTGTCCTTCTACCATCCCCGTCCCTCCCCGTTTGCGCTCCCAGCTCCCCTCCTGCAGGAAGCCTCCAAGAAGCGGAGCTCAAGGGCATCCTGCTGGCTCACTGGGGGAGGGGGGCGGGAAACACGCGACTCTTGACCTTGGGGTTGTGGGTGGGTTTGAGTCCTACATTGAGTGTAGAGATTGTGGAAATAAGTAAACTTAAAAAAAAAAAAAAAAAAGAAAAGGAAAAGAAAAAGAATCGCAGCTCAGAAGAAGGCCCCCCCCCTCCCTTCCTTACGAGGTCCTCAGTTTATCTGCTCCTCACTTGTCCGGACCTCCCACCCTCCCCGTCAGATGGGGAGCCACCTGCTCTCTTCTTGGGATCCCTACCACTTGGTGTCCACGTCAGGGGCAGCTGGGAGAGACGGCTGGGGCCTGGCTCCTGGGCAGGCTGTGGTCACGGGGGTGCTGTGACAACCAGCCCCGGGACGTTCCCCAGGCCGCTGGCTGCCCCCTGCCCGCTGATGGCACTAGCTCCCGCAATCACGGCTGAAAGAGCCAGAATCATAGCCAGGAGCCTTTCGGGTTTGTACGTGGTTTGTACTCTTCATCTACAGAGGGTGAGGTGAGGGCCCAGGGCGGTCAAGGGACTTGGTGGCCAAGCTTCTCAGGCAGGCCCATCTGATGGCCGCTGCCCACTCTGGACCTTCATGGACTCCCCGTTTCTTTTGAATTTGGGGTCCAGGTGGGCCCTCCTCTTTCTTCCTGTCCTGCCCACATTCTTGGGTTTTCCTGTGACACCCTACCATCCTTGAGAAGTCCCCTTTGACGTTTGCAGTAGACAACGCCACCAGGAACCCCGGGCCATGGCCTTGTGGGCTTGTCATCGCCCTGCTTAGCTCCCATTTGTGCTGGGACGTTCAGCTCACAGCCAACCTAAGCCTGCGGTCCTGCTCTTGTCACAGCCAAACAGGCTCCGTAGGGATGGCAGTCAAGAGGGTTTCTGTCCTACCCGTGTGTGTGAGAGGGATCTCTGGTTGGGGAGATCCTTGCTCACTCCACCTTCCTTCCATTTCGACAAGCCAGGGCCCTGTGTTTACATTGAGGGTGAGGTGAGAGGGGAGATGTGAGGCTCCCTCCTCCACCCATAAGCAACAAAACACCCTTTACACCAGGAAGTCCTTCCCTTAGTCTCACCTCAGTTTCCTATGCTTCAGTACCAGCTGCTGGGAGATGGTGTGCTTTTGGCTAGCCAGTCCAGCCAGAGAGCACTTTTGGTTGTGAGACATGGGGCAGCCCTTTCCCCTGCTGCCATGTGTGTGTGTGTGGGGGGGGGGGGGCGGGGCGTAGTTTATTGTTGTCTCAGTGGGTGGGGATGGAAACATAACCCCATCCAGGACCTTCCCGGCACAAGGCTCCTCCCTCTCCGGAACAAAGGACCAGGGAGGGCTGGGTAAGCAGTTAACTGCTCTAACCGGTCAAGGCTGCTGATCACTCACCTCTTAGCCCCCTTCCTCCTGCTTCTGGCTGACCCCCTGCCCTGAGATCATCGGCAGCACTCTAGGAGGGGCCTCAGAGAGCAAACCCCTGGTCTACCTGCCGCCCATTTTACAGGGGAGGAAACTGAAGCCCCAGAAACACAGAACTCACTGTGACCCAGCCCCACCGCCAGGCTGAAAAGCAGGCCCAGCCCGGGGTGGGGAGAGATGTGCTTTCTGTATTGGGAAGCGAGCAGCCCCAGGCGGCTGGAGCTCCTGGCTGGGGGCTCCCTGGGGAGGGAGGCCTCAGACCCCTGGCCCACAGTCCCCGGCAGTGACCCCCGGGGCATGGGGGGTGGCTGTGGGTTATCAAACCCTCCTGCCAGCAGGCGCCCACTGCATGGTGGTTCCGGTGACTTCCAGAGGCCGCACAGGCCCACGGGAAGACATTGTGCCCACCCCTCTGTCCCCGGGCCTCTCACCGCCCCCCTTAGGTCCCCTTTCCACAGCCTCCTCAGGTGGGCTGCTGGCAGTCCTTTCTCTTGTCCCATCTCCCTCCCGTCTGTGGTCTGCACGTGCCTCTGCGGGATGGCACCGCAGCCTTCTCCCGGCCTGCCTCAACCTCCCCTCCTACTGCTGCTACTCTCTCCCCCTCCTCTCAGGACTGTGCCCCTACCCGCCTTGCCTCTGGCATGAGCTCAGGGCCGTTTACAGAGCAGGAGCAGAGCAGGGAGGCGGAATCTGAAGCTCAGAGAGGGTAAGTGGCTTGCTCAGGGAAACACAGCCTGCAGAGGGAAGAACCAACACGGCTCCAGGGACCCTCGGCCGACTCCTGGGGGTCAACCCCCCACCCTCCTCCTCCTCCTCCTCCTTCACTTCCTCCTTCTCCTCCTCAGTGCGCTCTGATTTCTCTTGGTGCCTCAGAGGGCTTAGAGGGGACAAGGAGTCGAAGGGCCCCTGTCTGTTTCTTCTCTTTGCCTAGAGCCCCCCAGGCCTGCGCCGGTTATGGCTTCTCGCCCCTGGGCCCATACAGTTCTTTCTGGCCCCGTGTGCCACTGCTACCCATGAAGTTCTCCCACCCTCTTCTCAGGCTCTTCTCAGGCTCCTGCCTGCAAGGGGCCAACTAGGTTCAAGAGCTCCCCGGGCTGGGCCCATTTACGATATTTTTTATTTAACAAACAGAACCCACCTGGCACATGGTAAGTGCTTTTTAAATGCTTTTCAAAAATTATCCCATTTGATCCTGACCAACCCATTACACGGATGCATACTGAGAAGCAGAGAGGTCAAATAATTTGCCTGAGATTAAACAGCTGGTCAGAGGTGGAACCTGGATTCAAATCCAGGAATGGGGTTTTTCCCTCGGGCCCTTGAGGCCTTTACAAGGAGACAGGGAGGACATAAGTTAACAGACTGAGCTAACGACCTTCTCTGTAGGGTTGGTGGATCAGCTGGGGCTTTTTGGCCCCAGCGATCAGGGTGCCCAAGAGGTGGGCACCCATGGCTCCGTCGTCCTACCCTGAAGAGCATCTGTCTCAAGGCCAAGGCTCCAGGGTTGGGAGGCTCCAGTTCCGCTAAAGACCTCAGAGCGTGTCGCCCTGGCCCCCAGGCACCAGACCCCAGCCCCTTGAGCCCCCTCCCTGTGCCTACATATCTTTCCTGTCCCCAAGGCCAAGGCACAGGGTGATATCAGCCCTGGTGTTCAGAGAGAAAAGCCACCCATCCGAGTCAAATTACATAGCTCATGAAGTATTCCTTTTAAGGGATTAAAGCGGTTTCGAGAGGAGGTGGCTCTGCGGGGACCTGCCTCCCAGGGCAGCAGGCTGTTTTCCTAGGGCACACAGCCCAGCGGTGCAGGGCGCTGCACAGCCGGCCGGGGCCGGGGCTGGGGCCGGGGGAGGGAATGCGCCACCTCAGTGGATGGTTGTCCTTCTCCAGCTGTCATTTCCCCTCCTCATGCCCCGATCCTGGTCACACCCTGGGTGTGGGTGCAGGAACGCTGGTCTGGGCACATGAGTTGGGGGGAGGGGAAAACAAACCCATAGACCTGAGTTCAAGTCCAGACTGTATGCCTGGTGGTAGTGTGACCTTGGGCAAGGCACTTAACCTCTGGGATGCTGTCTCCTCATCTCTACAGTAGGGGAAATAGCCACTGGGGAGTGTGGCCGTGTAAGCCAATGACACACATTTGCAAAGTTCCTGCAGAGAGCTGGGCACAAGCAGATGCTCCATACGTGTTACCTTCTTCCCTCTGCCCCTCTCCACAGATGCCCCCCTTACGGGGGACCCTAGCAACATTCAGGGGAACACCAAGGCAGAGGGACAAGTGCAGACAAGGACTGGGGTGAGGGCAGAAGGATGGGGCTCTGGTGTACTGAGTAGGAGGGAGAAGTTGAGTTTTCCTCATCTGTTAAATGGGCATAAAAGGACTTCTTTCATAAGGTTGTTGAGGGAAACTGAGGTAAATACGTAAAGCATCCAGTATGGTACCCGGCATATAGGTTAGCAGTTAATGCGGCCGTTACTATTATGATCCTTGTTTGTGGGCAGGGCAGGGGGGCAGGCCTGGGAGGGCCGGTCTGGAGAGGTCTCTTGGAGGAGGTGAATGAGGAGTAGGCTCGGGAGGTGGGCAGGACTTTCTCGGAGCTCTTGAAGCCAATGCCCTGGGGCGGAGGTGGACGGGAGTGCCTCACACCAGCCTGCCGGCCACGGCAGTGGGGTCTAGGAAGTCTGGGTGCTGGAGACTCACTCCCTCTCTCATGAGGGTGCTGGGGAGGCCTGGCTGCCTGTCTGCTTCTGACTCGCAACACCGATTCTCTACATTCCTATCTCCTGACATGCTCCTGCGGCATCCCTAATCCAAAGCCTCCTTCTGGAGGACCCAGGTGCCCCTTTGGCCCTGCTGGCACTTCTGACCTCTGGAAGCTGAGCAGGGCCAAGGCCTGGAAAGGAGGGCGGACCCTTGGGAGCTCATCTCCTCCGTCCACCTGCCTTGGAGTCGGACGGCAAACCATATCTCCATCAGCCATTCCTATGAGAGGGTATCCTCCTGGCCACACTTGGAGCTCCTCCCTAGTGTCCACCTAGTGGGACAGTGACCCCAAGCCATGAAGCCCATTATTACCCAGACATCCCTCAGAGCCATCCCGGCGCCTCTTTCTCCCCCAGTGCCAGGATGGCTCGGGGACTGCCCTCGCCAGCTCTCCGTTCAGAGCTAGCCTGCCGGCTCCTCATTGGCTGGCGGCAGGGGTGGGGCACGATGCTCCAGAAGTACAGAGCTCAGCCGCCTGCCCAGCTCTGAAGGTCCTTAGCTTTCAGTTATCAAACCCTTCTGCCAGCAGGCGTCCTACTTCAGGTGCCAGCCCCCTACTTCAGCTCACCTTGCCAATCAGGGAGGCAAATTTATCATTGAGGACCTTCATCTCCTCCTTCTCCTGGGTCTTCTGCTGCTGGATGGCTGGGTCCACTTTGAGGTCCAGGGGCACCAGCAGGCTGGGGTTCACGGTTACCCTGGGGATGGTTCCAGCTGCCTCGCAGCTTGTGAAGCTGCGGGAGCTGAAGCCTGGCCCGGGGGTCCCGCAGCTGCCCCATCCCGAGGTCCCAGGCCGAGGGCCGCCCGCAGGGGTCACCTCACAGCTGCTAAGGCTGCTGAAGCCAACGACGCAGGAGCGGCAGGCCATCGCGGCCCCCGGGCCCGGGACGCGGGAGGGCACGGGGGTGTGAGTGAGCCTTGGCGGGGTGGCAGGCAGCTGGCTCTGGTCGCAGGCAGGGCAGGCTGGGGACTGAGGAGCAAACACCTGTCCTACAGTGCTCATTAGCTCCAGGAGGGCGGGACGCCTCCCAGCCCGACCAACCTGTTAGATGATGCGATGCTCCTGCCCCTCCCCCGGCACCACGCACACATCTCCTCCCTGGGCCTGAGACTTGCCTGCTTGAGGGGGCTGTTCACAGGCCCCCATATCGAGCTGGGTCTGGCTCCAGGGAAGGGGGGGCGAGGCTGGGCTGGCTGGCGGGCTGCGTGGGGGTGCGGTGGTGGCAGAGCAAGAGCAGACCCCAGGAGGAGGGAGAGAGAGGCACGCGAGAGAGCACCTCTCACCGCAGACCTCACTGCATACCTGCAGGCTGACGTATCTGGGCTCACATACTTCTGGAAAAGATGAGGCAAGCGCAGGCCGTGTGCTCCCAGAGTGCAGGGCAGCCGTCCTGGGCGGCGTGCCATCTGGCACTAGGAAACAACACCTTTTTATTTATCTTCTAGCTGCCTAAGAGTCTCCCTGGCTTACCTTCTCTTCCTGTCTTCCCCCCTCTCTCTCCCTCCTTCCTTCCTTTGACCTCGGGTTTATTGAACACCTACTAGCACATCCCACTGTCTCAGAGGCTGGAGAGGAAATAGATGGCCAAGACCAAGAGCCCTTGGCTTTGGACAGGTGAGACTTGGGCTCTAGACTCAGCCTGGCTGCTCGCTGCTGGTGTGACCTCAGGCAGGTTAGCTGACTTCTGTGTCAAGGATGGAAATGCTCCCCGCCAACCCCCCGGCCATGGGAGTCAGTGTATGCACAGAACTTTGTGGAGGGCAGGGCACGAAGCCCTCGGTAAATGGTGGCTAAGACCCGGGGGCTGCCTGTGGGGGAATGACAGGGCTTGCATGCCCCTCTTCCTCAAGGGCTATGGGAAAGGGCCCTTGACCCCCGTCCACCCCCTTCCCTCCTTTCCTCTGTCCTCCCTTCTCTTTCCCCTGTTTCCTCTTAAGAATGAAGGATCTATAGAAAAGATGCCACGTGGTTCCCACAGAGCCTCAGGTGGGGCGGCAGGAGGTTCAGTGAGCCCACAGTGCCCCCTCCACCGCACCTTCCCTTCGTCCCGGAGGCCCTTCTCTCTCACTTCCGCAGTCACTCGCTCTCTGGGGCCTGCTCTTCCTTCCTCCCTGGCCTGATGTCCCTGGATACTCTTGCCCTGGCCAGCTGGCCCTGTGTGCCCCCCCTGGGCCTGGCATGCCACTCTGGGGTGGTGGGGCCACAGCAAGGAGAGACTCAGGTGGTCAGGGGTGGAAGAGCTCTCGGCCCCTCTGGGACCGGAGGAAGAGACAGGCTGGAGATGGGGAGCCACTGCCCCAATCACATGGCCCGGTCCAGGCCTCCCGCCTCCCAGGCCAGCCCTCTTTCCCACATAGTGGGTACTTCTGGCTCCCCAGGGCACAGCAAGCTGTCCCGAGGCCGTGACTGCATCCTGAGCCTGAGTCCCCAGCATCAGGTACTTCTGAGTGACTGGGTCACTGTGATGGTGTCTGTGTCCACCACTTCTGACACAGGCTTCCCCATTCTCCACCCAGCACCCATTGCCTGGCCCACCCCAGCCTCCCAGACCTGGTATCTGGATGGCATGTGGTTCACCTCAGCGGCCTACCCTCCCCCACCCCGGCCGCCCCTGCGTGCTCTGTGGGGACAGGGGAGGCAGGCAGTGGCTGACATGTCACGTATGTCCCCGATGCTTTATCTGGATTAGTTCCCTTAGTCGTTATGACACTCGAGGTGGACAAGTTAGTTCTCATCAGCCTCAATTTACAGAGGAGGAAACTGAGGCTCCAGAGGGAGTTAAATGCCTTTCTAAGGTCACATCGTTTATCAGGGATAGATTTGAACGCAGACCGTTGGAGTTATGAGCCCTCCCTCTTATCTTAGCCTCTAAGCCTGGAGACCCCGGAAAGGGCAGTGGGGACACAAGAGGAGCTGTCGTCTCACTGTCTGGGGCTTGGCTCCACCTCCTCATTTTCTTTGAGCTGGATGCCCCAATTCTCAAAAGCGCCTCTGAGTAACTGAAGTCTGCCGTTTCTTGCTGACTTGTGCTGACGTCTGTCAGCATCTGAGTTGTAACAAGTCACAGTTAATGGCCGAGTCCCCGGCTTCATGGCCGGCATGCCAGGGCCGTCTCTGGGGCCCCCGAGCACTGCACGGCCTTCCTTGGGGTGGCCGGGCCTCTTGGAGGCGTGGAGGGCATGCTGGCCTGGGGCTCTGGCTGGGGGTGGGACGTGGGTCCTGCTGTCTTCTCTCTGGCCCCGCAGTCTCTCTTGGGTGCAGTCCTGGAGGTGTCTTTGACTGTCACAGCTCTGGCTGCCAAACAGGAAGGGCAGCGAAAAAGCTCTGAACACAGCTCCTGGCCCTCCGCATCCCCCCGCCTCTCCCCCTTCCCTCTCTGAGCTCCACCCACACCAGCCTCTAGCCCCACACTGACATCCTTGGGGGCGGGGGGGCCACTGTACAGGCCCCTGCCTCTCCAGCCTCACTGAGGACCCGATGTGACTGTCACCTGGCCTTGGTTAGGAGCCCAACTACCTAGGGTTTTTAAGCCTCCCAGGGATCAGGAAGCCTGGCATGGGGGTGCTGGGAGAGGCGAAATGGAAGGTGGGCAGAATTTTCAGTCTCTGTGGGGATGTTCAGGTACCTGGACAGTCTCCACACCCCTCCTAGATGTACTCACAAACCTGCTTTGGGTTTTAGGTGGGGCGTGAGCTTGGGTGACCCCAGCTGGAGACAGCATCTGGATGTCCCAGGCCCCTCTGGGATTCTGGAGGCCTGTCCCGGTTGGTCCTTACATGGTCCAGGGACAGAAATCTCAGTCCCCCTCCCTCTACCTTGAGCCTCCCTCCTTTGCCCCTGGTCTCCTGGAACTGGTGACAGATGTAATTCTGCTCCTCCAGGAGGCAAGGGCTGGCTGGAGATAGGGCATGGGGGTGGCTTGGGCCGGGCTGTCCCACAGGCCCCTGAAATGGGTCCTCAAAGAAGCAAAGGGGGGTTTTCTGATTTTCTCTGCTTCTTCCTTTCTTCCATCTCTCCGTGGCACTCCCTCCCAACCTCGGGTCTGTCTCCCTCTTTGTCATCCACCTCTTCTCTCTTGCTTCCCTGCCCACCCAATGTGCTCAGAGTGTCCTGCCCACTCAAGAGTCCAGGCGCAGGGCTCCTTCGCCTCCTCTCAGCCCTGGGGAGGAGAGGTGTCTGAGTTGGCCCACACAGGCAGGCTAGGTGGCCTTATGGGGATGGCATCATGTGTCACAGTTTCAGTTTCTGCACTATGCTCTGCTCCCCGTTTGGCCCGAGGCCTGGCCCTTGGAGCCAGTAGGCCTGGAATAACTCAGAATAGCAATGCATAGTTGCTGGATGAATGTTCCAGTGAACACATCTTAGCCCAGCTGGGGCTCTGGGGCGGGATGTGGCTCTCAGGGAGACAGGCAGGGACTCTCTGTGCAGGGAAGAATCTTCGTTTTACTCCATGGCCTGGTGGGAAGGTGAGGTCACTCCTCCAGGAAGACTTCCCAGATGAGCCTGCTCAGGTTCCTGTTGGTGTCTCTTCCTTTCTCCCTAAGGCACATCCACATCTATGTGCACTGAGTCAGGGCCCTCTTGCCTGATGAGGCTAGAAACTCTGACCTCCTTTCCCTGGACTGTCCCTTTGAGCGGCCCTGTCCTGAGGCTGCAAGAGGGAGGCCTCAGGGGCTAAAGGGGAAGATTCTGTGGCAGGTCTCGGGAATGGGATGACCTAGGCTCTGCGCAAAGGATTTCTGAGAGCTCCAGAGCTGGGGGTTGGGGAGCTGCGAGTAGATTTGGGAGGGGCAAGGGCCAAGAAAGGGGACCTAAACAGCAAGGATGGAGAAATTAAAACAATGCCTGTTTACACCTCCTTCACACGCCAGGCAGGCTACAGAGACCTGAGAGAGGCCCTGACCTGTGTGAGGGTGTCTGGGATACCCTCCCAGAGGGGGCAGGGAGCAAAGACTTGAAAGGAGGGGAAGAGCTGTCCAGGAAGGGGGGGAAGGCTGTTTCAGGCTGAGACAGCAGCAAGAGCTGTGGCGTGAGGGATGGCATGGGGGATGGTGGTAATGACAATAGCCACTATTACTGGAGTTCCCAGAGGTGCCACGAAGCTCAAGAGGAGCAGTGACTGCCTTGGGGGCCCAGGGAGGCTGCATTCAGGGCATCTCATTACTTTGCGTGAAGTCTTTCAGTGGCTCCCTGTGGATGATGGGATGAAGTCTAGAACATTCCTTGGGACATCAAACAAGATCCTTTGCTCCCACTGCCCTTCTTCTTTGTGTCTCTTCTCCTTCCTACCTGCCTTCTCCCCACGGCCTTCCACCCCCACCACACTGGCCCCATTTCCCCAAAACCTGCTGAGTGATGCCATGAGTCCGTGTTGGAGAGCGCAGGTGTGGAACATTTCCATCCTCAAGTATGATTCTCCTGGACGGTGCTGCCCTGCCAGTAGGCATCTGAATGGGCCAGGAGGCTGCAGATTCCTTCAGGCTGGGAAGGGGTTCAGGGGACGCTAGCAGGGCCGCATGGTGGTGGCGGAGCCCTGAACCTGGGCACGGGAGACCTGGTTTCTGGTATGGGTTCCGTCACTCGCCAGCTGTGTGGTTTGGGGCCACATGTTTGGCCTCTCTGGGCCTCAGTGGCTCTCAAGTTCAGTTGTATAAGCTACGTGGACAATTGCTGTTTTTTTAATTAAAAGTTTTTTTTCCCCTTCCATTTTGTTCAACAAGTGTTCCTCAAACTGTTGTCAACTCCCTCTCTCTGCTGGGTGAAGCGAGGTTCTCGGCCCATCAGTGTGCTGGAGAGGTCAGGCAGAGTTGTGGGTATTCTATAATGAGGGCAGGCCTCGGGGGCCAGGGAGAGGTGAGCATAGGCTAATTACACTTTCCTGTCTTCATAGCACTTAACCCAATTTGTAATTATTTGTTGTTGGTTGTTTATTTGTGCCTGCTTCCCCTGCCAAGCTCTGTGAGCACAGGAAGTGTGTGGTGGTTTTGTCCCCTCAGTGTCCCAGTGCCTGGCACATAGTGGGGGCTCGATGACCATTTCTGGAAGCTGGCTCCAGAGCCCCTGTCCTCCAGGACCTGGCTGCCTCCTTGCCAGGCTGAGCTGGGCTGACTGGGATGGGCCCATGGGTTCACGTTGGGTTCTCTGCCTGGGGTGTCCCACATCCCACCATGGGTTGACTCCCAGACGCTTGGCTTCCTG